GATGGAGTTTCACTCTCGTTGCCCAGGCTAGAAGCAGGATCTCAGCACACTGCAACCTCTGCCTCCCAGGTTCAAGTGATTCTCCTGCCTCAGCCTTCCTGAGTAGCTGGGATTACGGGCATGTGCCACCATGCTGGGCTAATTTTTGTATTTTTAGTAGAGATGGGGTTTCTCCATCTTGGTCAGGCTGGTCTCGAACTCCCAACCTCAGATGATCCAACCGCGTCAGCCTCCCAAAGTGCTGGGATTACAGGTGTGAGTCATTGCGCACGGCCTCCCCTTGGACCTTTTCATGTTCACTGCCTTAATTCTCTGTAAGGACAGGGACCACCTTGTTTGCTCTCCTGGTGCCCCAGTGACCTGGCTCCCCTGAGGGCTGCCCGTAGGGCTCTGAGCCAGTTGTCTCCCCTCTCGGGGTCTCTTCTTTTCCCGGTGTGAGGTGGTGATAATAGGGGTGGATGTGGCTAGGGCTGAAGGAGGTGGGTTTATATTGGGACTGACGGGCTGGGGCGCTGCACAGGGGCTAGGTGAGGCCCAGCCCTCCCTCTGTGCCATCCTCCTGTCCCTCCTGCTGTCATCCATTCCTCCTTCCCCTTTACCCTATCCATCCATCCATCTGGCTGGCAAAAACACACAGAGTGCCAACCATGTGCCAGGCACATGGTGATTTCCCCAGCACCACCTGTAGTCAGCCACCAGCCCGTATGGGCACCATCTCCCTCATCCTCATCCAAGTCCTTGGAAGGCAGAGGATTGCCATGAAGACCAGGCCCAAGCTCACATCAGGCAAGCAGCAGGACAGGTGTGCAAACCCAGGCCTATGGGATTTGGGAGCCCCCGGCTCCTTCCAGGGGACCGCAGAGGTAGGTCAGAGAATCAGGGCTTCAGTGAAGGGCTCCCTCATAACTTTTGAGGTCATCACTCCTTTGAGAATGTGATGAAAACTAGCTGGTCATAGTGACTCATACCTGTAATCCCAGCACTTTGGGAGGCCGAGGCAGGCAGATCACTTGAGGTCAGGAGTTCGAGACCAGCCTGGCCAACATGGTGAAAACCCATCTTTACTAAAAATACAAAAATTAGTTAGGCATGATGGTGTGTGCCTGTAATTCAGGTACTTGGGAGGCTAAGCCAGGAGAAATGCTTGAACCCGGGAGGTGGAAGTTGCAGTGAGCTGAGATCGCAACACTGCACTCCAGCCTCGGTGACACGGTGAGACTCCGTCTCAGGAAAAAAAAAAAAAAAAAAAAAAAAAGGCCGGGAGTGGTGGCTCACGCCTGTAATTAATCCCAGCACTTTGGGAGGCAGAGGCGGGTGGATCACAAGGTCAAGATATCGAGACCAGCCTGGCCAACATGGTGAAACCCTGTCTCTACTAAAAAGTACAAAAAATTAGCGTTTGCCGTGCCTGTTGTCCTAGCTACTTCGGGGACTGAGGCAGGAGAGTTGCTTGAAACTGGAAAACGGAGGTTGCAGTGAGCCGGGATCACACCACTGCACTCCAGCCCAGTGATAGAGTGAGACTCTGTCTCAAAAAAATAAATAAATAAAAATATCTTACCTTGGATTCAGAAAAAAATAAATACATAAATAAAAATGAAAAAGAGAATATGATGAAAACTTAAAACCTGTACCTCTAAAGGTATATTATACATGAGCCAAGTGCTCACATACACGAGGCCCCCACAAGTACATACATGCACCTCGCTAGTTCTACAGAAGTCCACCAAACCATGATGCCGATGCACACTGAGACAAAGGGCCCGAGTGAGCTCTCTCAGGTCACCTTCCAGAGGCATCTAGGGGCCGATCTGCAAGCCAGGCCTTCCCTTTCCATACGCAGGTGGAGCCGTGGCACAGCTGCAGGCCGGGGCTCCCTGAAAAGGCTCGGTCCCGCTTTGCCAACACTGGCAGAGAAGGCAAACCATTCTCTATTTCCGTTTTTTTGTTTTTTGTTTTTTTTAAAGATGGGGTTTCACCATGATGGCCAGGCTGGTCTTAAACTCCTGACCTCAGGTGATCCACCCACCTCGGCCTCCCAAAGTGCTAGGATTACAGGCTTGAGCCACTGCCTTTTTTTTTTTTTTCTTTTTTGAGATGGAGTTTCGCTTTTGTTGCCCAGGCCGGAGTGCAATGGCTCGATCTTGGCTCATGGCAACCTCTGCCTCCCGGTTCAAGCAATTCTCCCGCCTCAGCCTTCTGGGTAGTTGGGATTACAGGCACGTGCCACCACGCTGGCTAATTTTTTTTGTATTTTTAGCAGAGACGAGGTTTCTCCATGTTGGTCAGGCTGGTCTCGAACTCCCAACCTCAGGTGATCCTCCCTCCTCGGCCTCCCAAAGTGCTGGGACTACAGATGTGAGCCAACATGTCTGGCTTTCCTTTCCTTTTTTTTTTTTTTTTTTTTTTTTTTTGAGACAGAGTTTTGCTCTTGTTGCCCAGGCTGGAGTGCAATGGTACGAAACGATCTAGGCTCACTGCAACTTCCAAATCCCGGGTTCAATCAATTCTCGTGGCTTAGCCTTCCAAGTAGCTGGGACTATAGGCTCCCACCACCACACCCAGCTAATTTTTGTGTTTTTAGTAGAGACAGGGTTTCACCATACTGGCCAGACTGGTCTCAAACTCCTGACCTCAGGTGATCCACCCACCTTGGCCTCCCAAAGTGCTGGGATTACAGGCATGAGCCACCGCACTTGGCCCCATTCTCTATTTCTGATTTGGAGTCCCAAACTGCTGGCTGAAATCTCTGGGTCCTTCGCCCCCGGAAGAGCCACAGAGGAAGCCTCACCTCTGACCAGGATGAAGGTGCCACTGCCTCTTGCCACGGTGTGTGGCCAGTGGACAGAGCAGTAGTAGGTGCCAGTGGCTAATGCACCCGGCGGCACAAGGGTGACCAGGCAGTTCAGGGTGTAGGTCTGGTTCTCTGTGCCCGGTCCAGGGTGGCAGTTGGTTGGCTTCTCAGGGCTCGTCTGCCCATGGAGATCTTCATGAAAGTAGCTGACTGTGAAAGCCTTGAATTGGGGGGTGTACGGGTAGGTGACCCTGCAGCTGAAGGAGACAGGTGAGTTGGCCAGTGAGGCCACGATGGGCAGGCTGCTGTGGGTCACCGACTGTCCTCCTGGAGGGGAAGCAAAGGGACAGAGTGACAGGTCACTTGAGGCTGCCTCAGTCCCACCCACTTGCAGGTTAAAACAAGGCTCGTGGCCAGGCACAGTGGCTCACGCCTGTAATCCCAGCACTTTGGGAGGCCGAGACAGGGGAATCATCCAAGGTCAGGAGTTTGAGACCAGCCTGGCCAACATGGTGAAACCCTCATCTCTACTAATACAAAAATTAGCAAGACATGGTGGTGGGTGCCTGTAGTCCCAGCTACTCGGGAGGCTGAGGCAGGAGAATCACTGGAACCTGGGAGGTGGAGGTTGCAGTGAGCTGAGATCATGCCACTCCACTCCAGCCTGGGTGACAAGATAGAGCTCCATCTCAAAAACAAAAACAAAAACAGACAATTCTCGTGCCTCCCGTGCCCCTACCTCTGCAGCTGCAGCCCCTGCCTCTCCTGCGCTTGCTGTGTGTCGGACTTGTGCCGGGCACATTACACACACCGCTCTGCCTCTCCTAATATACCCCTAGGCAAAACGAGAGCCCCTGTTTCACGAAGGGGAAGAGTCTGAGGGGCAGGGAACTGAAGCACCTAGCTCCTGATCCCTCAGCAGGTAGAGAGTGGAGCTACAACCCCATTCAGGGCTGGGAGACACAGAGCCTGCTCTCCTAACCCCCCTGCTTCCTGAAGTCCAAGAGGCCATGTGGAAAAAACGCCCAGGCCTGAGAAGAGTGAAAGCTGGTGATGGATGAGAAATAAAGAAGGAGGCAAGAAAGCAAAAGAAAGAAGCCCAAGCGTTTCCTGGTGGTAGACAGAGAGGGAGGCAGGTCTAGCCACTGTTCTCCCGTGCCAGGGGAAGAGGGCACACAGGTGGCAGGAGACACAAACCTCTCCTGGACTGGGAAAGGATTTGTCAGGTTTTTGTTTTTGGTTTTTTTTGAGACAGAGTTTCGCTCTTGTTGCCTAGGCTGGAGTGCAGTGGCGTGATCTCGGCTCCCCTCGGCTCACTGCAACCTCCCCTCCCAAGTAGCTGGGATGACAGGCATGCACCATCACACATGGCTAATTTTGTATTTTTAGTAGAGATGGGGTTTCTCCATGTTGGTCAGGCTGGTCTGGAACTCCCGACCTCAGGTGATCCACTTGCCTCAGCCTCCCAAAGTGCTGGGATTACAGACATGAGCCACCATGCCTAGCCAGTTAGGTTTTTATCTAGTATAACAGGCAACATCCTGAGAGTGGTTTTTCCAACAACGCAGAGGTGCTCCACGTGGGGCCATTTCGGCTGTGATCATGATGTCAACGGACCGACCGTGACAAGGCCAGTTTTGCAGGAGCCACCCCTCCCCCCCAATCATCAGAGGCACTTCAGAAAACAGTTTGAAAATTCGCAAAGCAGCAGCCCTCCCTGGGGGGCCTCTAACCCCTGCTGCAGGCCTCTGAGATGCTGTTTGGATCCTGGGCTGGGGGCAGCAGCCACCCCCTGCCCCAGACTTCAGCTGCTCAGGCCCCTCAGCTTCAGCGCTCCTAGGCGCTCCAGGCCCTGCCTTCTCTAGCAGCTGAGCAGCAGACAGTTCTAAATTGAGGTCGGCAGCCAGCAGCCAAGAACATGCAGGCCGGCTTGTTACTTGGGAGAAGATGGTGTGTTTGAGATGCTCAGAGGAGCCGCAAGATTTATTTTGTTGGGGAAAGTGAGGCGCAGGCGCTGCCTGTGGTGTGGGGCTGGAGTGAGGCCAGGCTGACTCTTCCCAGGTCTCTTCAGTTCAGCTCTGAGCCAGAGCTCTGGGAAGGGGGTCCCAAAGGGAGGCCAGCCTTCTGGAAGATGCAGGATAGACACGGAGTCGGCCCCGTGCTTCAGTTAATCCCTCAAAACTTTGGCCACGCTGATATTTTGAGCTTCTTACTGAGCCACTAAAGAGACACCCCTAGGCTGGGCAGAGTGTTTCCTGCCTGTAATCCCAGCACTTTGGGAGGCCCAGGCGGGCTGATCACCTGAGGTCAGGAGTTCAAGACCAGCCTGGCCAAACATGGTGAAACCCCATCTCTACTAAAAACACAAAAATTAGCCAGGCATGGTGGTGGGAGCCTGTAATTCCAGCTACTTGGGAGGCTGAGGCAGGAGAACGTTTGAACCTGAGAGGCGCAGGTTGCAGTGAGCCGAGATTGTGCCATTGCACTCCAGCCTGGGCGACAAAAGCAAAATCCTGTCTCAAAAAAAAAAAATTGTACGAGACAAGAGGAGTGGGGTGAACCACAAATGACATCGCCACTGACCCCACCCTGCAGCCTCACACAACACTCACAGGCCACTTCCCCCTCTGTGCCCCTGCCCTGTGGGCGCCTCGACCTGTGACCTCCATCTCCTCACCAGGGCCTCCTGCTCCTACTCATGGTGTAGCTAAGAGGCCCCTCCAGGTGGAGAACAGATACACAGTCAGCACCATGAAACCTCCCTGTTTCTCCTGGGCAGGAAGACTTCAGTCCAATTGTCTTTAAAAATTCTCCCCATCTGAAGTATCCTTCTAGAAAATCATGAGCTCTGCTATCGCAATTAAGCCGATCTTTTTAATTCCAGGGAAATCTATAAAAATGGATGGCCATTGTTCTGTATTCTTTTGGGATTTGTTATTTTAAGGTCAGAGTGTTAGGATCATGAAAACGCTTGGCTCTGGCTCAGGTCTGCTACAGCGAGGAGAGGTTTCAGAGCAAGAACCTCAGACCTCTGATGAAACTGCTGTCTCTAAAAAGTGAAGAGAGGAAGCAGTCTCTGACCAGCTCCATCAATAACAACAGACAGTCTGGAGACAACAGGTCAAAAAACCCAGGGAGAGGAGAGGACGTCTGCAGGTGCTGCCAAGGCCTCCAGGTTCTGGCCTCTGGATGTAGCTCACTGCCTCCCCTGCACCTTCCTTTCACTGGGTGTCAGTACCCCTGAGCTGGTCCCCTGCAACTGCCCAGCTCCCACCCCATCTCCTGGACCCGTGCCTTCCAGAGGCCCCTTCAGGGGTGCAGGCCCTAGAGGTCCAGGCCCTAGTTGGCTGCCAACTAGAAGCGGTTCCCCATGATGGCTCAGTGCTGAAGATAGGTTTCATGGTCATTTCCAAGTCCACAAATGCTTTTCAGCTGTCATTTGTTTGTAGCACTTCCGTGGGGGTCCTGAACAGGCCATGAACGTGCCCCACGGGACACGAGGCCAACTCTACAAGCACCCAGAGCCCAGGGCCAGCCTCCCACGCACCTGACACGGCAGGTCTTTTCTGCCTCCACAAGCTTGATCAGTGGGGACAAACAAGGAGGGGGTCTGGGCGGGAAAGAGAAGAGGGACCTCGCCCCTCCCCCTCACACGGGACCCGGGTGACATGGAGAATCACTTCAGCGTCAGAGTTTGAAGTTTCGTCTGTTACACAGGGTTAGAGATGTGAAGAACTGGGACTCATGCGTGACTTTCGGTGACCATAGGACTTTGACTTGGAGGAACTAGGTTTTGCCGGGAGAAATCCTCCAACACCAAGGTGTCTAGAGGGCCCAGGACCTGCTCCCGCTGCTTTTCCGGTCATTCTCCAGGTCCCAGGGACCTGGGGCAGGTGGAGCTGGGACTGGCCCTGGGGCGCAGGGAGGAAGCGTTTCAAGGAGCCCCAGGTGTTTTCTGTGCAGGGGATGGATTGGATCCCAACCTTTTAGAGAACTTAGGAGGATTCTCCATTCGCCCACCTGGTGGAGAGCGGGGCCTGGAGGTGGCTGCAAGGAGCTCCCCTGGGGCTTGGGGAGAGCAGAGTTGGGGCAGAGGGTGAGAAGGGGCAGGTGAGGACATGAACTCCCTGGCCTGTTCTGCCCTGCCGGGAGGGAAGGCTGCAGGTGCAGGAAGAGTTTGGCTCCTGGGGAGTTTTCTGGATAGGAGCCTCTTGAGCCTGGTGAATGTGGACAGGATGGTGCAGGGAGAGGGGAGAGGGCACCCGGGTGAGGACCTTGGGGGAGGAGGGGTCGAGCAGGAGAGCAGCAGGGCCACCAGAGGCAGGGTTGCCACAGGTGTCTGGGAGGGCCCCGCCCCAGGGCTTGGCTGTTTGTTCTGAGCCTTCAGCCCCTCCCTGTGCCTCCCCACCCCCACACAGCTGCAAGCACAGACATCTCCTCTGGGCAGCACCATGCAACCCTGCTCAGTCTGCCCACCCTGCTATGCTGCTATACCGGAGACTGTGTTTTGGGGCGGTACACTCCCCCCATCCCTCACTTCCCTGCAGCTCCAGAGAAATCTCTCCCACACTGTGAGGAAGACTTGGGCCTGGCCAGAAACAGGAGCGATGAGCGCAGGCATCTGGGGAAAGCCCAGGTTCTGGAGGCAACAGGCCTGGATTCAGCTCCTGGCTCTGCCACTTCAAGGCTGTGCAACCTTGGGCAGGCGGCTTAACTTCTCTGACCTCAGTGTCTCCCCACAACACAGGGAGAGCAACAATGCCAACCTTCAGGGACTGTGGCGGGATTCACTGGACCTGGAACCCAGCTCCTTGCCAAGGGCCAGGCTGCCTTTCTCCAGGGCACAAGAATAAGGTAGGAAGTCCTCCTTGAGGATTTTCAAAGGCAAATGCCAGCTGGGTGTGGTGGCTCAAGCCTGTAACCTCAGCACATGTGGGCAGATCACATGAGGTCAGGACTTCAAGACCAGCCTGGCCAACATGGTGAAACCCCATCTCTACTAAAAACACGAAAAATTAGCCGGGTGTAGTGACACATGCCTATAGTCTCAGATACTTGGGAGTGTGAGGCAGGAGAATAGCTTGAACCCAGGAGGCAGAGGTTGCAGTGAGCCGAGATCGAGCCACTGTACTCCAGCCTGGGCAGCAAGAGCTATCTCTGTTTCAAACAAACAAAAAAAAGAGGCAAATTTGGGGGTTTGGGAAAGCCCAGGTTAAAAGATATGCCCTACCCTTCTGCCTGGTTAAATGACATGCCCTCAGCACAGGGGACACAGGCCCTGATGGTCCAGGCGCAGCAGGACCCCCAGGGACCTCTTCCTGACCCAG